CCACGGATTATTACCAAAAACTAATCAAAACCTAGCATTAGTTCAGAGCATCTATGTACCAAGTTTCATCAAAATCCAATGAGTGGTTGTTTAGATATCAGTGGAACAGTCATGGAACCACTAAAAAATAGCTAATTATCATGCAAATTAGGTAATTAATATGCACGGATTTTTACCAAAAATTAATCAAATCTGCGCATATGTTCAGAGCATCTATGTACCAAGTTTCATCAAAATCCAATGAGTGGTTCTTTAGATATCAGTGGAACAGTCATAGAACAGCTAAAAATTAGCTAATTATCATGCAAATTAGGTAATTAACGAGCATGGATTTTTACCAAAACCTAATCAAATCTGCGCATTGGCCCAGAGCATCTATGCACCAAGTTTCATCAAAAACCGATGTATGGTTCTTGAGATAGCAGTGGAACAGTCGGACACACATACACACACACACACACATACACACATACACACATACACACACACATACAGACACACTAACTGCAAAGACTCCCATTTTGTGCTTCGCACATGGGAGTCAAAAAACACAAGCATCAAGTTTTCAGCAACTTATCAATTTGTACCGAGAAGTCAGAAATGGTACAGTGGAAATGGTACTTTGGCAGCCTGGATAATTGTACTTTGGCAGTGATGGACCAGTGTGGCAGTAAAACAAAGCACTATTGTGGTATTACCACACTATCCTGGGGAACACTGCTTTCAGTTGCATGTCAATAAAAATACAAATTTAAAAAAAATAAAGCTTTATCTTATTTCAATCAAAAACACCTACAATGGTTTTTTAGTATGTTAAGTTAAAGTGCCTGTGCAATGCCCACCCTCACGTTTCCCATTTTAGATCCGTGTCCCACTGAAATGGGCAGTTATTGATTTTTTTGCTGAAAATGATTACTCGTATCCAAGTAAATTTGGGATATTTCTCGTGTGGTAGCCACGCCCACCTATCCTGAAACGGTCGTATGTTTCCGGATTTCCGACTCTCGCCGAAAGTGCGCCACCAAATGACAAAATATGAGAGTAAGTCATACCCCTGAGCCGTAATAACACTTGGTCATTCAGTATACTTTTAAACGATATACATTTTTCAGTCGGCATTTTTTCTTTCTTTTTTTTTTTTGTCTATTTTCTTATTTTTGAGAGAGAGAGTTTTTAGATGTTGTGTTGTGGGCAGTTGCAGTAAAACGTATAGTCATAGTGTAACTATTCACACGTTTCTAATCGATCCGAAGGTGCGACATCAGTGGACGAAAGCCACTTAACCTCAGATTCCCTTTTTGGAAAAACTGTCGTCCATGAAAAAAACAACTAGGTTTGAAGAGAAACGCCGACAACATAAACCTGGCTCAACACTTTTGAAAGAAATAGATTCCGGACTATGATCACCGAGGCGGATTTCAGAAAAGAGAGAGACAAGTGTTTCAAATGAGTTTTTTGCGATCCTGAATATCGTTTTATAGAGACCATTTAGTCCCTGTTAAGAAAAAGGTAGCAATAATTTTGACAGTGACACGAAAACGAAGCGTCGGACAAACAGGAAATTACACAGCCCTTACACACTGCTAATTGTTTTCATTTTGGAAGGCTAAAAGTTTCTGAATTGTTTGATGGTTTGTGTTGAATGTCGATTTCACACCTCTGTTCTTTTTTTACCTCCATGCTTGCAGCTTGATCTGCGTAATAATTTCTGAAATAAGAATCCGGGCTTGGTCAATGTGTTTCCACTAAATAAAGTTTTAAACTGTGATTTGTCGTTTTTTAAATTATTTTATAGTGATCACTATGGTCTAATGTTCAGAATGTCAAAATATGGTCTTTTTTATTTTCATTTTGAAAGTTTTACTCAGACGATCGATGAAATAAAACAGTGTAGTGACGTGCCTAGTAACCTGCTGAATAACGAGATGATTTCCGACGTCAAATTCTATTTTGTCCAACGACAGTGTACAAACGTGCGCCGCTGACGATCACCAGCTACACCAGAACGAACATATTTCGCATCTAACTCAACCCCATTCAACAAAAATTGATACTATGTGTTCATTATGGTCCATTCCTCCTCGACATAAGTGAAAATTTAGTCGAAGACGAGAAAACTGCAGAAGAAATTTGCCTTATTTACATGTATCCGCCATGCGACTTCCCCTTCTGACGTCACAAGGGGAATTTCTGTATGCAAATAAGAAGCTAATGAGGAGTCTCGTTTTAAAATACACAAAAATAAAGTTGCCGTAGATTGAGTTTAAAACACATTTTTTCACTTAAAAAAAAATTCATGCTTAGAAACATAAAAAATAATATTTATGTATCAATGGATAATTTTAGGCGTGAAAATAACAGCCATTTCACAGGCACTTTAATATCCTAAATAAACCCCAGTGAACAAATTTCACTAAAAGTGTTTTATCGCAAACTCAATACTGTAAAAACATAAATTATTCACTGGTTTTAAATTTCACTTTTTGCTGACAAGTAAAATCAAATAGCTGGTGTAGCAGTAACTCAGCTGCACCACTGAAATGTTCTAATCTCAGTTGCAGCGACAGCTGAAACCCAAGTTTCCAGACCAAATTCTACATCCTTCAAATTTGTAACGATACCAAACACATTCCTACCTTTTCCAGTGATTTTCCTCTTCCCTTTCCTACAATAAATTAGAATAAAAATGTTGTAGTTAAAAAAAAAAGAACAGGGATGAAAATTATAGTGGCACACCTGGAATTATCGAACACAAAATTAGCAGAGCTCAGTTTTCCCACAAGTCTGATTATATCAACAACAAAGTCTGCAGTATGAAAATACTGATGTAAACCTTACAACCCTGACTACAATATGCATGGCCCAGTTATTATGTCTGCATTTTCTCATAGCGAGTCCTGATGAGAAAGTGAAGGGAGGGGAATTTACAATAAATTCTGTCTATCACAAATAAGAAAGTACCCCTTAAATATTGTGATCAGCACAATCCCTCACAGATATTGCTATACTTTGAATCTGGATTATTTAAAGTGTATCAATGGTCAAAATAAGTCACAATTCAATGATCTAGCATACAATGAATACAATGTTTAATACATGTATGCTTCAAATACTATATGTGCTCTATTAGAAGTGTATTTATCAATAGAAACACATGTAAACTAAAAGTAACTTTTATTGTAGCTGGATCGTTCAAATATGACTTGTATTGACGATAGACACACCTCATTTACTTAAGAGCTTGGGCTACTGTTAGAGCAAATGCAAAAAAGCAATGATTTTTTTAAAAACAAAGACGCTTTTTTTTACCAGTATTCTGAAAAATGTTAATTCTAGGTACATGAAAATGATATATGAACTCAATTTTCTGCTGAACAAAAAAAATGAACATAAGTGTGGGACAAAGACATGACTGATGTGAGTAATGTACACTTATGATTGAATGAATTAGTAAGGATGAAGACAGTTGATTTAGTTTTAACACTTACTTATTGGAGTCCTCTTACCAGGGGTTGTTTGTTTTTCAAGTGAAATATACTCTGGATCACCACCTTCTCCTTCTATTGCCTACAGAAAACAATAACAGACATTGCCTTAAATTGTATTTTCACTTTGTATTGTATACAAAACCAGTGTTCTCCCCAGACTCTAAGCCAAGCATCGCGGCTAATTTACATAACAATACATCTTATTTGCATAATTTTGTTTGCATTTGTTTGTTAAATTTGCAAAATCTGTATGAAGAAATTATAAATCAATAATGACATTTTTTTCTATAACGGCATCTCAAAACTAAAGTCAGCGATTTTTCATTGATCTATCTATTATTTGTGTAACGCTACGATCACCGTAACATTGTCAGCTGACGGCATTGCGTTGAACGGGTATTCACCGCTGCTGTTGCGATCATCGGTCCTTGACTTTTTTGTTTAAAAATACACAAACTTAGAATTTTTGCTTAATTAAAACGATTCATTGATGATTAACTTAGAAATTACATCAAAATCGCCAACGAAATGTTGTTTTTAAACATCGCGGAAAAACATGCACTCTGCGCCGCCATTTTTGTTACCTCAATCAAAATCTCCGTTGT